CCAAAAAAAAAAAAAAAAAAAAAAAAAAAAAAAAAAAGTAATTGAAAGCGCATCCTATCAGTTTTTTGTATCCAAGCCAATAACAAACTATTGCTCCACAAAACGAAAGAACATAAATAAATGGGTCATTATTATCAGGCAAATTGCTTGCTAATATACTTTCCTCATGAAGCATTTTATTCTCAGAAGAGGGAATCTTTACTTACGCAAATGATGATTAACTGGAAAATTTTAAGACCTTCAAAGTTCAACCTAGAAGATATGAAGAGTCAAATGACTCAACAGCTACAGCTACAGCCTGGAAACTATACTACAAACCTAGGAAGTAAAGTAATAATATCATATTGCCAGCTATGTCAGATATTTTCTATAGTTGAAAATTAGGCCACAAACACTTCGTCCTTTTTAAATTCTTGGTTCATGCTTGTCATCATATACGAGTTCATCGTATTTCCGAAATGAAAGGCCCACATCGCCATATAGAAAAAAAAAAAAATGTACGAGGAACAGAACAAAGCATTATAAGGGTAAAAGTCATCAGCAATACGACAGAAGCATCTACTTTTCTGATGAGCATCGAATATGTTCAGTTCCTTTTAGCGAGAAATGAAAAGAAGAGAGAATCTTACATAGGCTCTGTTCAATCGGGTCAAGTTGTGATTTTCTTGAAACTGTACCAGTGCTCCTGCATGCTCATGTCCACGCGCACCTGCATTTTCTTAGATTGAAGTTAATATTTATTTAATTTTACAAAATAATAGAAACAAATTTCAATGTGAATGGATTTCTAAAATTTTAAAGAAAAATTGTAAAAACAGATACTTTTGTAGAAAGAGATTAACCATAAAGCAAGGCACAAAAATTTTAAAATCAATAGAAACATAAAAGACTAAAATGGAAGAAAGTACTTTTAACTCTTTTACCAATACTTTGAAAAATATAATATATCGATTGTTTCACCTTTACCTTCACCGATGTTTTCATCAATGCCTCGTAAAATCAAGATGTGAACATTTGATAGACACCTATGTTAAAAGTTTTGTTGGAGTTGTCCCCTTTTAGTCTAAATTAAAATTACATTATGAGAATATATTTTTAGACTAAATTTTATCCGAACAAGCAATGATTTGATAATTTATTGAAAGTGCATGAACAAAAGTAAAACAAATATAAAATAAGTTTCAAAATAAAAGAACCAAAATAGAAGTTGAATCTTTGAACTTCTCAATTTTACTTTGATTCAGTAATTGCTTTCATATTCTTTTGAAATTTGATAAGAAAGTTATATTACACACAAGTTGAGTGTCATAACATATTCATATATTTCAAATATATTAACAATACATTGACTTTGTGTGAACGAAGTTTTTTTCCGAAGAGACCTCATTAAAAACTTATAATATATCGAGAATAAAATTGGAAAAAATTAAAAAAAAGGACAAAATAGAGAATCACCTGAAAAGAGTACTGAACATATTGGTATGTGCCCACTTTTATCAAATTCCATCCCTCTTTGAGCCCCCATTTTCCACCGCCACAACTAAAAAGTATTCAAAAAAGTAGAAGTAGATTTCATTTTCAGCAAAGATGGGAGAAAAGCTTTCAAAGACTTGACACTTATCTTTTGTTGCCCAACATACTCGGAAATCTTTCTGTCATCAACTAGGTACATAATATTCTCATATGGATGAACTTTGAATATGCTCGAGTTCCCATCTGATCACTGCTGGAACTAGAACAAAAAGACTTTAAACTGTAATATAATCCACTTCATAATTTAGTCAGCAACTCAACACATAAATTCATCATAGAAAAGCCAACAGTATTTCCTCAGTCAAATCCTGATTCGTTTACAAATCGAAAGAAAGCTTTTAAAGATATTCGATTTCGCAGTCCCCTTTCTAGCCATAGAAAATGGTAGATATTCTTGAATTTTAGTTCCACACCATGCAGAAGTACTGCTACTGGCTGCTTTATTACCCCACTCATATCCTACTACATGTAAAAAGTAGTACAGCAGTAAAGGAATTTTATCCTTTCCTTCTATTCATGGCTATAGTATATCATGTGGGATCTATAAAATAAATGAAAAAAATAGATACTCATGTTACAAGAAATTTTGATCAATGACATGCATAAAAACATGATATATTATACTTAAAAAAATAGAAACCAATCAGCTGGCAAATCGATCTGAGATGATTGATTTGGCGAGAGAAGAGAAGAAAACAAAAATTAATAGAGCGATTGGCAGGTTAGAGAGGGGAATTAGAATCAATGAGTGGGATTTCTATGTTAGAGGAAGGAGATGAAGAAGGAAATGAGAATGGGTGGATAGACAGAAGAGAATGGTTGAAAATTACTCTAGTAGAACATATTTTTAAATGTCATTTTCATACTACAAAATTTTATTTTAAGTAATTAAAAACATGTTTTAGAGTAATCTAAACACAATAAAGTAAAAGTGATTTTAACATTTTTAAAATCACTCTCAAAATATTGAAAAAGAAAGAACCTATCAAGTCTCTAAAATGTATGCTATCCTAGCTGTATAAAATTAAATCAAATTGGTTAAGGCTCAAGTAACTACAGGAAAACGATACGAGTGTAATACACGTCTCAAATAATGCTCCAAATTTCAATGTCTCCACGAACTCTAATATATTTTAAAAAATAAAAGAAATAATGCATCAAGTCTCTGGATGCATGCTTGCCTTGCTCTATAAATACGAGCTCATCTTGAGTTAACGAAACTTGCATTCCAAGTTGGATTACCAAGAGCTTTAACATTGGTCTAAATTTATTTCTTCAGAACTCTGTTTCTAACTCTCTACTCTCTATGGCTCCAGTGCCTAGTTCTCCCGTCAACGTAGGACACATCGATGATGTGCAAGAACTCAGGAAGTTTAAGCCTAACACTATTCCCGAAAGATTTATCAGGGGCGTACAAGAGAGGCCAACACCAACAGCTTTAATCTCATCCTCTGATCTTCCCACTATTGATTTATCCAAACTTTTAAAAGGAAACAGAGATGAAATATTGCAGCTAGCCTCTGCCTGCGAGGAATGGGGATTTTTTCAGGTAAAGACTAATCGAATATTCTCTTTTCAGTCAAAGCTTAAGAACAGGCAATGGAAACTAAGGCCTTGGTAATCTTTTAGGTAATTAATCATGGAATTGCTCTAAACCTACTAGAAAGCATTGAGGGGGAGGCAATGGAATTCTTCGGGCTACCTTTGGAGGAAAAGCAGAAGTACCGAATGGCACCGGGCACAGTTCAAGGATACGGGCAAGCTTTTGTGTTCTCAGAGCACCAAAAGTTGGATTGGTGTAACATGTTTGCTCTGGGGGTTATACCCGACTCTATAAGAAACCCACTATTATGGCCAAAGAAGCCAACAAACTTCAGGTGGTTTTTTGTAATTCTAATGTCACCATTGAATTAACTGTTCAGCTACTTACAATCATACACCATTTTGCAGCAATACTGTTGAGATTTACTCTAAAGAAGCAAGAAAGCTTTGCCAGAATCTATTGAAGTACATAGCTTTAGGCCTTGGCCTAAATGAGGACGTATTTGAAAAGGCGTTTGGGGTGGCCGTACAGGCAATAAGGATGAATTACTATCCACCATGTTCAAGACCTGATCTTGTTTTGGGGCTGAGCCCACACTCCGATGGAAGTGCTTTAACTGTTTTGCAGCAAGGAAAGGGCAACTCAGTAGGGCTTCAGATCCTTAAGGACGACAAGTGGGTTCCTGTTCAACCTCTCCCAAATGCACTTGTGATCAACATTGGCGATACAATGGAGGTGTGAATGAAACTTTGTCTAAATAAAGAAATGATTTTTTATCTTACAACAGAGACTTGACTCCTTTCTCATTGATTTATATGCAGGTTGTTACAAATGGCAGGTACAAAAGCGTGGAGCACCGAGCTGTGACTCACAAGCAGACTGACCGACTTTCGATAGTCACATTTTATGCACCTAGCTATGACATAGAGCTTGGACCAATGCCAGAGTTCGTGGATAAAAACAATCCATGCAAATATAGAAGATATAGTCATGGAGAATACAGTAAACACTATGTCACAAACAAGTTACAAGGAAAGAAAACCCTGGAGTTCGCGAAGATTTCAACCAAAAACTCCTACTAAAGCATCACAACTTTCCCACCTAGGGATACCAATGCTCGATACTGTATAGAATTTAGCAGAGCAGTATTGTGACGTCAGCATTCAGCTAATATTAGGGGGAAAATATCAATCAACATGCAGAATGTACATCTTGTCTTTACTTATTTCTAAATTTAAATGGGTTGTACAGTTAAAAGTTAACTCTTGCCTGGTTAAGCGTTGTTAGATTCGACAATTTGGTAATGGGGCCTTGAGATTTGACGCTTCTCATGTCAAGTCATGTTCCATCTTTTGGGATTTTCAATCAAATAGCAGCTGTACTCGTAAGAAAAACAAGTGCAACATGACAAAGACGTCCCTTTTCAACAAGATTCTAAGAAGCATCTACATATGGGGAACCAACAACATAGTACGCCACCAGATTGTTTTAAAGCCATCAAGATAAGAAATGGAAGAGGCATCTATGACTATAATTTGGGTAAAGTACTTCTTGGGTAGCGGCCATAAAAGAGCTCATAAATTATGAATTTGTTCACATCTAGTGCTTCAATAGAAACATAAACTATTTCACTAATTTTCTTTTAGTTCTCTGAGTGCTAAGAACGAGCAGTCCACAAAGCAAAGCATGACTAGACCAAATGTAATAATGTCTTGAACAAACTAATTGAAAGAGCCCATGTAATAATGGCTTTTCATGCTGACCCACCACAGAGCTGGGCAGGTGAGAAAAACAGTGTTTCATCCACCAGAAGTTCAATCAGAAATGGCAGAGAGTGCCTAATGGAAGTAGTAATCTCCATTTGTTAGAAAAAGTTCAAGGGGCACAAAGGGTGCAGATAAACTTCACATGCAAATATCAAAGTATCTGATAAAATGTCTTGGAAGAGATGGAGGAATAACCAATTAGGAAGTTATAACTTATAAGTTAAAATTCCTAATTACGTCCTGAAGATTTTGTTTGACTAGGATCCAAATTCGACAAACATTTGGGTCCGTGAATTGTAACAAGTATTTGAGGAGAAAGACCAAAATGTTCAACGGGGGAACAAAAACATCTAATTTAGAACATCTTATTGTCACAGAAATGTCCTATACCTTGAAACTAATCCATCTGGTTGAAGATAAATTTACTCGCGTTCTAGTGGACGGCATACAACAGAAGGAAAAGAAAAATGGAATTTGAAGTCCAGTAATAGGCGGAGAAATTGTGAGTTGAGCTGACAACTTTAGATTTAGTTAACACGAAGTATAGATGTAAAACTTATTTCTTTATTTGGTAGCTGTGGGAATGGATTAGAAATAAATGGGCAAAAACGGTCAAGTAAGATTTGAAAGATTGACTAACAAATCATGCAAACATAGTTAAATTCATGCTAAAATAAAATTGTTAGCCAGTGAAATCATAATGAAGTCCATTTATCTTTATTGGAAGGAAACTAAAGTTTTGGATAGTAAAATTGAACCTTCAATTGGTGTTAATGATAAAGACTAAACATATTTAGATTTCAAAATTGAAGATATACTTAAAAAAATTCTAAGTTTTAAAACAAATGATAATCAAAATACGGAGACAGAGAAATTTATAATTCGAAAATTTATCTTGCTGATTGAAAACTTATGAAAGGTTTAGCCTAGTAACAATAACAATAGCGAGGTCCAGGTGAACAAGTGCATGCTGTCATATTCACATTGTTAGTGCCAATACAGGCGTGATGAATGTAAGCAGTCAAAATCACTCAACAAAAGCAATTATAAAATGATTGCAGTAGAAGAATTCCTTATCATGCCTCATTTACCATCCAAATGCATTAGCAATCTCAACTAAGACATTGCTAATTTTAACATGGGCGTCTGCTGATTTCCAAAATTACCATGGGCAGTGCTCATGTCTTAGGATCCAAACTAAAAGCTAACACTTTTAACTACTCCAAACGCTAAGCAGTTAGGAGAAAAAGGTAAAAAAGATTAAAATTGAATATTAAATGTAATAAAGTTCAAACATGGTTCTGGTCCTATACATTTATCATTATCTATATGTGAATTTATTCCCTTAACATTTACTAAATGTCACATTTAGTTTAGTAATAGAAGTAATCATCTATATCAAATGGTGTGCTATGCTTTTGTTTTATTTTTAGAATATTACTTTACATGTGGAGTGATATTATTCAAACCATTAAGGTTTCTCATATTAGCTTGTATCATGCCATTAGAAACTGAAGTATGAAGCTTTGGGGGGTATATTTCTGTTTCTTGATACAGAAATAAAATGTTGTGCAAAAAACATATAAATCCTCCAAGTAGGGGAAGGCATCATGAAAGGAAACCGGGGAGTCATCGGAATGTGGCCGTAATTATTATGCGTGAAAAAAAGACCAGAGCCCACTAAGAATTGATCCAATGCCCACGAAGAGGAAGTCCTTTTCCTTCTTAATTTCTCTCCATTTCCCATCAGTAATAGTGGAAACGTCAAATTAATCCTTCACAACAACTTGCTTTCTTGATGTATAAAAGGAAGATGATCTCAGCGCAAGGGCCCCAAAATCCCACCCTCACAAAACTTTATTTAGTTGCAGTAGTCAAACATGATTATTTCAATGATTGAGGTATATAATTTTAATTCACAAAACATTAAAAGATGCAAGATGCAAGATGGAAGATGCATGATCAAGATATTATTTGTCTAATTACTCTTGGATACCTCGTGATTTGGGAATCTGAAGAGGACCGTCAATTTTGCTTCACTAACTTCTCCATTCAATTCCACTACTCCATAGAATCGCAATCGCTCACGTTTTGTGGCTTGCTTTTCGCCATGTACATTCCCCCTGTTCGATCATATTCAAAAAAACAACAAGAGATTCATTCACGTGCAAAAAATTAACAATCGATAAAACCTCACCGACTATATTATCGTCAGGAGTTGATGCAGCATTGTGGTGCGTTTGCGCGAAAATGTTCCATCAACGCCTGCAAATTTCATAGAAATTTCAAAATGAAAATGGCATCTCATCTACACTCCATAAATTTTTCATAAAAACATATGTATTTCCACAAAATCTGTCCATCGTTCATAATTACCGATCACTCTTGTCCTCACCGAGAGAGAGAGAGAGAGAGAGAGAGCGCACCTTTGGCGGCAAAAGATTATCTGAATCTCCATAGAACGATCGAAGGAAGGAAAGCTCATTAATTAAGGAATAAAATTATGATTTTAAAATTTTAAAAATCAAAACTTTATTACAAGACTTAATCTCATTAGGGTTTAGGGTTTCGAAATTGCTTTAGATTTTTAAAACTCATGAAATAAATATTTTCTTCGATTTTTTTAGATTTTTTTTTTTTTATTTATAATTTTGTACTAACCTATTAATCAAGATGAATATATTATTTTAAAAATTACTTAAAATAGTAAATAATGTGAATACTATTTTATAAAAATATATTTATTGATATTTAACTATCTATAATGATAATGAATTTATAAATAATTAAAATAACTATAAAACAAAAATACAAAATTGATAAAATTAAATAAATAAATAAATAAATAAAACAGCAATAATATTAATAATATATTAATGAGAAAAAAGTGGTTATCCAAAGTCGTAGGCTTTGTTTGAGGCAAAACAACTAAGGAACTAATTATTGAATAATAAATATGCAGATGGAAATTACAGTAATAAATTCAATTATTTTCACTCCATTTGCCCAATTAAGCAATAATCATCTCAACATTGGGATTTTCAGATTTTCCATCAGTTTTCTAATTCATATAACAAGCATCTCAACTTGCTTAGATGGAAAAATAGTTCGAACAGATCGATTTTCTCAGTTTAATTTATACATTCAAACTCGTACCGCCAGCATCTTCATTGTCATCGTCATTGTCATCGAACGATTTCCTTTTAGAGCTATTTCTAGTCATAAGAATCGTAACACTTCTTTGACGAAGGCTGGATGATCATGCTAGGTACCTGAACAAGCTCGGGTTATCTTTGTCTCTTTCCAGATAGTCTCGGGTGATTAGATCTTCAATCCGCTTTTTGATTACCTTAAAGTCGGGCTGCAAATTCCCATTGTTTCTTTTTAGATTCCGAAAGTTAAAAGCAGATTAAAAGATCAAAGTATCGAGATGGAAGTGTTTGAGAGAACCTTAAACATGCGACCGAGTTGCTCGACGCACTCCAGCACCAACTGCTGGTGACTCAAAACTTTCCGACTCTTCATAATGCGAACAATTGATGCATCAATCGCGTAACGTCGGTCCTTGTCGACATCTTCAATTACTTTCTTCTTCTCATCCACAGGTGGAAGAGGAATCTGCACAATGGTAGATCAAAACACTGCATCTTACAAGAAATGCTACGGTTAACAATGAGAAGGAAATATTAACAAGTGAAGAATTAGAACCTTGATCCTCCTCATTTTGTCTGTAAACTTCGTATTGAACTCGAAGTGATCGGATGGCGAGATAGTTTTAGTACTCGGCTCCTTGTTAAGAATCTTATATTTAGCACACGACAAGGAATGGAGTAGTCTCACAACGTCGTCATCGTTCAAATTTAGTTGAGTCATAATTTCTGAGTAACTAAGTCTGTCAGAGGAATTGAACAGCAGCAAGGCAGAAGCCTACGAACATACAAAAAAAAGTACCATATAAATCAGTAATAAGGACTTGGTAGTAGAACAAAACAAACTCCGAGTTCCCGAGAGTTTCGATTAGGTCGATGTACTAACCTGATAGGTAGTCACTATCAGTTCAATAGTTTTTGGTTCAAACTTTCCAATGATGTTACAGATACCCAGAGAGTAAATCCATGTAAGCTTCCTGTGCTTTGTTTTAGTCTGATAAAACTCTTTGAAAACCTCAACACATTTAACCTGAAATTCAAGAAAGAAAAGATTAAGATAAAAGTTGTACAACTTGTAAATGGTCAAACTTGAAACGAGACCTGTGCCTACCATCTCGGCCGGAAGGTTAAGATCGAAGGACTTGTAGCTAGGCCAAAACCCTGTAGTCAGGACCGTAACCGTCAAGTCGATGCCAGGATGTGCTTGTGGATTAGTGGTAAGATACTCCTCAAAGCTGGCTTGATTCTCCTTTGCCAAAGTCAAATCTGTGACCTAAGGAGACCCAAAAACAAACACATGTAATACTTCCACAATATCAAGCACTTTAAATCACAACAAAAATCTGGCATACCATGCCCTCCATCTTTGAGGTGAACTGACCACCACATTGCTGTTTCAGTTTAGTCAGAATACTTCTCTCGTGCTCGTCGTTGGCACTCTTATCAAAAAGAAGCCGTCGAGCAAGCTTTTTCCTGCAAATGGTTATGCAATTTATCATCATTATTTCATTTCTTATAGTTTATCTCTAAAGCCAATAAATCTTAAGATCTAGAGAATCACCGATAAAATTCAGCAAAAAGATCTTTATCACTGATGTAAGCAAGCAACTTCACGACCTGCAAACAGAGAAGGGTTATAATCATATAACATCGTCCATAAATCATCAAGGGCAGAAGGAATAGAAGATGGGAAAGAAGAATGAACCTTCTCCAGAGTCTCTTCAATGGCTTCATCACTCAGTTTCTCACTTCCACCTTTCTTAAGAATGTTATCGCAAAAAGTTGCAAGTAACTCTGCACTTGAACTTCCAGCAACGCCCTTGTTGCAAAAGACCTCAAAAGCCTCCTTGAGAGCCTAAATAGATGCACATAAAGTTTTAGTAACAATTTAAATCTTAATAGTTTTATATCACTATTATCTTTTTCTCATAACTATGTGTACCTCATACTTCGCACATTGTAATAGACTAGTAAAAAACAACATACCTTATGGAAAAGTGTATGATTTTGGAAGCAGTTGTTCACATATGCCAAATATTTATCATGCAGTTCGATCACTTTTCTTACGAACACCTAAAACGCAGATCATAGTTTTAAGATACCATGTGAGAGAGAGAGAGAGAAAATGCGCGAATGTGACAAAGGAAGATTACCTGTTCCTGCAAACCAATGACATCCCTCTTCTCAGCCTACAGAGAAGGAAAGAAAATAAGTCCTTCGCCACAATAAAAATAACCTTTCAAGATTGGTATAGGAAACTCATCAAATGTTCATGAAAAGTACAGCTCAATCATAAAATAAGCACCACAGCCTAGATCAAACACTGACGGAATTAAACCTTTTCAAAAGCACACACTCAGTTCCTAATTGCGATTCAATGATGCGGATGATAAGAACAATAACACACAATTTGCTTATACATGGTTACCGTATTGGATGCCGAAATTATAACATGAACATCTAAAATAGTCTTGCAAGCAAAAGGCCAATTTCTTGGTGTTATTAAATTATACAGCATTCATTTTATTAGCTCTTAGCCCAGTTGAAAGACATGTCCATATATCTGGCTCAAACTAGAAACTTACGTATGATATTTGCTACAATACATCGGAGAGTCTCCAAAAGAAGAAAATAAGTTGTGAATTGAACAGCAAGACACCCAAAATTTCCAAGTAATATATGAAAATAAAATAAAGAAAGAGAAAATTTTAAGTAATAAGGGAAAATAATTCATGCAAAATAAATAAGAAAGTGAAAAATTACTGCTCATCTATGTCATCTGGCAACCACATCCCTAATCTCTGATAAGCAGAAACGCTCTCTGCTTGAATGGAAAATTCCTTGAAGACAAAATATGTAGGTTTTACTAAAAGTTTTAACAATAATGCACCTTTAGGCTAGATGTAACCATTGAAGACTACCTTGATAATAATTAATTAACAATCCAAAGCCTGTTGGCCCATGATCAACCAAAATGACGAAACTTAAGATTAATATAATGGTATAACGCAAGAAATGAAAAGCGTATAGCAGTTAATAACAAACCTTCTTGTTGCTTGCTGCATCTTCTGCTTGTTTCACCAAGGCAGTTCCCTCAGTAGTAACATGCTGTATGATCGAAATTTTACAAGCTCATAGGAGTTCAGAAAAACAGTAGACAAATAAAAGAAAAGTAATTTTGATTATTTCAAATGAAAAACCATTTAGGGCTAAATTGAAGTGGTTAAATCACAAACCTGCTTAAATGTATTTGAAACTGGATCTAACCCCCGAGGAATTTTAGAGAACAGTCTGAACATTCGTGATAAGTCTTCCACCTAGAAAGTATCCCATAAACAGCAAAGGAGAAGAAAATATAGGTTCATCTTCATATTGAATAACCATTTACTTGAAAATAAAATATAGCAAATTGTGCAAGTACCTTGTCATCTCTAAGCAATGCATGACATCCAGAATGCTCTTTTTCAAGCAGTTGGGTAGCATAGGCAGACAACAGTTCATGTTGAACTTTCTAGAAAAGAGAGAATGCAATACATCAGCTACAATTATGAGGATGACCATCATCAAAGAAGAATGAAAAAAACTAGTACCAGCTAAGCTAAATCAGTTGGAAGTTTACTCGATCAAGAAGACTTATTTTAATTACAAAGGCACTAGGAAGATAGAACAAACCTCAAGAAGTTTAGGCTCACTGCTAGAGTGCAAATAATGTGAGACCCTATCCTTCTCACGTCTTAGACATTCCTCAGCCTAGAGTGTCCAATAAAATGAGTAAGTAATCCTACCAGAAAGATAAGATTATATTTATCTACTAAGCTAATAAAAAAACAAAAGGAATTACTTTCAACATATAATCAGGACAGGAGTCTTCGAGAATCCAGTTAGAAGCCTTTCGAGAGTAATATGCAGCAGTGTCTTTGAGCATGGCTGTTTCAAAGTCATTTTCATAGCAATCCATTTGCCCCATCCCAATCTCCACAAATATATCTAAGACATTCTTTAGCAAAGCCCGGTCAATTTGCTCTCCTTCACGCTCTTGATCGATCTGATAGGAGAAATCTAGTTATGCATTGCAAAACTTAAATGATGGTGCACAAAATAAAAGGCATTAACATACCAGTGATATAACAGCATCTCTAACTTTTGCATTTAACTCCTGGTAAATCTGAAGTAACACAAATATCAACAACATATTCTATTGCTGTGACTCGCAGAGTTGAGGTAAACACAACCAGGTAAGCCAAGCAAAGAGGCAAGAAATATAACATGGTAAGAAAAATCCAGTGCAGTTTTTGGTGGTAACGTACCAGATCACGGAAGCAAGTCAGCCCAACATCGTGAAGAGGTGGAAGTGACCTTCGAGCTATAAAGTACCGATCAAGATAATGGAAGAAGCGAGAAAGCCACCTAACCATCACTTTGTGGTTTGCCCATCTTTTCACAAGCTCTCTCAACATGAACTCATCATGTTTCTCCCTCAAAGATGGCAATACCTGAACAGAAAGTTCAACTGTGAGTGTCTAAAACAACAACTAATGATACAGATATAATATATGAAACTAGGACTAACAACACAATGTGCTGTGAAAGATGCGATCATATAAGACTACAGAAGCATTTTAATTTCCCCAAACAAATGGTGAAATTAGAACATTAAGGACATTGACATGGAATTGATAGGAAAGAAATGCTCATGATTCTTCGACATGTTGTAGTGTGTCAAAAGTTGGACATATGAAGATAGTACTAAATGATATCCGGCCAGCAGAAAGATAAAACAGCAGAAGAATTGTTCAAACTAGCCCATTTGTTAACAGTTTGACAAGATGATTAACTTCGTTTCGGTTATTTCTAGCTTGACGGGGAGTGTCAGTTGTTTCTAGTTATGTTTCCCTTTTGGTTAATCAATATATTTCTATTTATTGTATTATATAGCTTTAAAATTATTTCCTTATATGTAAATGGGTCTTTCTTCCATCTAAGAACTCCTTTCTTCTTATAATAAAATATACATAAACTATTATCTCTTACGTAAGATAATTTTACAAATGCCTCATATCTAACATACATGTATATATTCTCAGCAAACTTAACCATTTACATCACCAAAACAAATGTCTGCTAAATTTCATGTTACGAAAAAGATAATGGCCCAAAGGTCATGGAAAACCAATACATAAACTACATAGTTCTTACCGATGAAGTTATGTACTCTTCAAATGATTCGCGGTACTTATCATACAACTGCTGTGAGTAGTCATGTGGAGGCTTTTGAGTGCACATATTATAGATGGTTCTGCAGAGATTGTCATCATAAATTGAATTAATCAAACTCCATCAAACCATCCTTCAAATTGCCAAGTAAGAACGGTAGAAAGAATTTCACCCTCACCCACCCACCAAAAAAAACCTCTCTAATATAGCGCGAAATCAAAGAGAGTCTCAACCAATTCAAATTCCTTACGCTCAAAAGTAATCTAATTTTTTAAGAAACCAACTTATCAAGAAAACAGAGAAGATTATAAGCCTTCAAAGAGTATTAAAATGGGCACTAATTGGAACTCCCATTCCAATCCTCCAATGAGTATCCATCCAATAAATATAAAAAGCGAAAACGAGCATGACCAGAAGTTTAGAAAGATTAGTACGTGTAGAGCATCATGTAGTCTTCCGAGCTGAACTGTGGCTCCGGCAGTCCCTCTAGAATGTTCTTCAATTTCGTGATTCCTTTTTGCATGAAGTCCCATCCTTGCTCTAAATCAATGGTCTTTCGCTCGTTCATCGTCGTATTATCACCAACTCCTATTTCTACAGATGGGGCCATAACATTCACAATCAGATCACACGCCAATCAAAATACGAACAATATCGGAAACGGAGATGACAACAAACAACAAAAATTTCAAATTCCCAATTCGAATATGAAATTCAAGCTTCAAAGTAACAACATAGATTAACATTAGTGAAACTCATCCTGAATCACAAATTTCAATCCAACTCCCACTCAATAGCGAAAATGAACCATTCATGATCTGAATTACACCACTCCAAAACAATCTTAACACGAGTAACAGAAACAACAAACAAAAATACATTACTATGATCCAGAAATTTGCAGACAGATCAAATAAAAAAAAGAAGGAGAAAATTACCAGGAGAAAGAGAGGGAGATACTGAAAGCAGATTCGAACCAAAACAAAAAGAAAACCCTACGAGGAAACTGATTCAATGAGCGGAAAGTAAAACCCTGTAGATAGCGATCGAAAAGGGAGATGAGCGAAAAGAAATTCCGATGGGCGTTGGTGGGATAAGTTGCAAAGTGCTAGCGAAGATTTTCTTTGATAATAATATTTTTCAATTTCTATAATTAAAAAGAGAGAGAGAGGAGAGAGAGAGAGAGACTTAAAAAATAATATCTTGGAGTAAATTTTTTTCAAAAATTAAAATTATAAACTAATAGAATTTTATAATGAAATTTAAAAGATTTTAATTTTAATTTTTATCTAATTTTAATGAAATTTAAAAGATTTTAATTTTAATTTTTATCTAATTTTAATGAAATTTAAAAGATTTTAATTTTAATTTTTATCTAATTTTAATGAAATTTAAAAGATTTTAATTTTAATTTTTATCTAATTTTAATGAAATTTAAAAGATTTTAATTTTAATTTTTATCTAATTTTAATGAAATTTAAAAGATTTTAATTTTAATTTTTATCTAATTTTAATGAAATTTAAAAGTATATTTATCTAATTTTAATTTTTATCTAATTTTAACGAAATTTAAAAGATTTTAATTTTAATTTTTATCTAATTTT